AAAGTTTCAATTAGTGTTAATTAACTAGGTAAGAAAGAGATTTGAAATAATAGTGGTGAACAACTAATGATATATTATTTTTTAAGCAAAAAATGTTATTTAGACCTAATTTGAAAACCTAATGATATACAAATGTTATATTGGTAGTGGACTCCATCTAACATTGAAATTTACAACTAATCCAATGATTAAATTAAAGCCACATCATTAGATCCATATAGCATTGCTCTTATTCAATGATTTTAGCATTAAAAGGTCTTTAATGCTAAACCAATAGATAAAAGTACAGTGTCCAATTAGAAGCATGTTGATCCATTGCACATACAATGAGATATTTTTTTTTTTAATTATTCATTTCACTCATAAGCATTGATGAAACGTTTGCACTGGATTGCATTGTGGTGTCGAGTTCCCTGCAAGTTTAATGCACGTAAAACACATGTTAGCCGGTTGTGGGATTATGAATTTCACTTTGGAATTTGGAGGATTTAGTAGGTGTACACATACTTTGCATGTGGACTATTTAAATTTAAAATATTAAATATGAAAGTCATCTTCCACTTTTCCAAAAAAAAAAAAAGGAATGTATCAATATCTTCTTATTAGAAAACCACCCAAAATTGGATTGGTATGTTTGTACTATGATAGAATCGAAAAATCTCTAACCGCAATCTGAAGTTGGTATGGATCTCCCTCAAAAATTACATTGGCGAAGATACAACTCATTCGGCCAGCATGTCAGCATCCATGAATGCATTCAGACAAGATTCGAACCTGGTTAAACAAAAGCAAAAGCATTTGATCATTTGACCATTCCGGAGAGAGTGTAAATTTAAGGCGTCAAGATCAGAAGCTGTAATGTAAAGCTTCATCTTGGCTAGTCATTGATCAGTCTCTTCTAACTTCCGAAGAGTTAAAACTCCTCAATGTATAACTCACTCATTATACTTGCAAAGCAAAGTATAGAAATTCACACAAATCATAGGATTATAAAGCCAACTTTAGGTGATAACTATTTTTTTTTTCACTCCTTTTTATTAGGGGAGGGAGAAGGGGGCTTGAACCTTTGACCACAAGAAGATAGCTCGATTGGAAAAAAAAAGATTAGAAAAAGATGAATAAATTTATCTATGCAAAAACCATTATATTTCAAAAACCCTAAAAAAAATTAGAAATTAGACATTAAATAACCCAATAATAAGAGTCTCATATTTCACACAGAAAGAAAGGTTTGGTAATTCATGAGTTTTAACCCTTCTCTTTCTCATGAATCAAAAGAACTAAAGATTCAAGCAAGTTTCATAAACTTTTAGGCCAATCAAAATGTAGTTGACACTTGATAATCAGAGATAGACACCCAGCAACACAGGAAATTTTCATATATTAGGTCATTAGCGGTCTGTAAAAAAAATCCACTAGAAAAAACCCAAGTTCTGCTATCCCTTAGGTTGCAAATCAAGTTGCAAATCAAGGACTGTTTGATAACATCACTTAAAGTTTAAAAATGAATACTTTAAGAACTTAATAAATTAAACCCGTTTGATAACATAAAACTCATACTATTTAATATTTTAATCACTTCTTAAAAATAAAATAAAATTTTAAATAACAAATCATCTACTTATTACTTAAGGCTAAAAATGTTAGTCATTGAGAATTTTATTAATTTCTCATAATGGACAAATATACTCTAACTACTATTGTGTCATCCCCATCACCATCACCACCACCATCACCATTACCACTGTGTTACCGTCACCACCACTATCGCTGCTATCACCACTAACATTGTGCCACCATCACCATTGTTGTAAAAATATCAATTGACGAATGCTAAAAATCAGATGATAAACAAGATAAGAAAACTTATCGATAGAGGCGTGTAGTCACTGTCCTTAAGAATAGATTTTCGTCCCTCTGAGTATGAGCACGGTGTAATAGGTTATGGCGTCCTATCCTCCAGGATTCAACTATTGCTTCTCCACAAGCGTGCACTCGCAACTGTAGAGGTGTTTTAAACAATTCTTGATCGTTTCCAAATCAAAGTAATATAAGTAGTAGTATATTTATTGGTATATCAGGACACTGGTTGCAGCAGGTTGGCATACTAATCACGAAATCTACTATATGTAAAATCCACTGATCAAAGATTTTTTTTTTCCTTTTAACAGAAGATTGCCTCTCAGTTATTCTTTTATCTGGCTCATCTTTTTGTTTCCCTTTCTGTCCGAAGATCTATATATCGAAGCAGCCCATTCATCATTACCTTAAATATCCATCCAATGGATACAATGAATAAGTTGCAATGGTTTGAAAGTTAGGTGAACAGGTCGCAATAGAATAAAATTTAGGTGCACGGTCTGAAACTTTCATAGTTATAGTATATATATTGGCAGACACTTGAAAATGTATTAAAAAATTCAAACACTTGAATCTTCTTTAACCTATTGCAACCGTTTGCAAACAGACATTAACGGTTAATTGCAAAATTTAACAGTTATTAACTAACGGTTATAGACTTTAAATTACAACTCTGATGTAATACAATAAATTAATGCAAATATAAGTGATAAAACAAATGGTCACAATGTGTATTGTTCAGATCATCCAATAGGTCTAAAAATAATTTTTAATAAATATATTTTTTTAAACTTATATTCCTATACACATATATATGTTAGAAATAAATAAATATATATTATATTTTGAAATATATATTAAATACAACAACCATCACTACTACCATTTTCGCCACCACTACTATCACTGTCGTCACTATTACCATTGCTGCCACAACCTCCACCACCATCGCCATTGCTACTGCAACTACTAACATTGTGTTAATGTCACCACCACTACTGCAATTATCGCCACCACCACCATCAGTATCACAACCATTGATGCCACTACCTCCACCACCACCACCGTCACTATCATTGTGTCGCCGTCACCACCACTACAATTAAGTCACCGGCACCACCACCATCGCCACAACTGCCCCTACTATTGTGTCGTCGCCACCATATGCATGTATGCATTTACATTCCATAAAAATGCATAAGTTTGGGTACATATTTATCAGACTACTGCCGATGGCAAGCATAAGTTTTTGAGTGCACAGATTATAAATTATTTTTGTACACAAATTGAGGAACACAACCCCATATATTTCCGTCGGGTTTCAAATCATTCCACTGCTAAATTGCCACGCAGCAATATATCTTATGACTTATGAGTGCTCAATTAACAACCCTTTCATATAGAAGAGAGTTCATAATTCACAACTAGAATCGTAAATGCTCAACTGCTTTATGCGAAGTTCTATACCCAAAATACCCTAGTTGGAATCATTCCCATGAAGCCAGAGTCATACGTATACCACTACTTGCATAATCCCATAAGCTCGAATAACATCTCCATATTTCAAATTCATTGCAATTTAATCCCATTAGAGCAAAGGATTACACGAATAACCAAATTTTCAACAAACCTACTAATCGAGAGATATCATAAATTAAGAATCAAAATAATTTCGCTGAACTCTATGTCCAAAAAGTTTTAGGCCGGTGATTTTTCCCTATCTATAGTGTCCTAGCTTGATGTTGGTGTTATGGGTTGTTCCCATGGAAGTTGTGTTCATTTTTTTGATTGATTACACGGTATGTGCGTTGGATTTTTTAGTGATTAATTATCTGAGTGGTATCTCTTTATAGGTTTAGTTTGTGTTGCTTAAAAATTATGTGAATTGTGATTGTTGTGGTGGATTATCTAGAATAAGATGCCTTTGTTTATTGTATTGTTATGGATGTTCTAACTTGAAAAAAAAAAATGGATTATTGTAGTGGTGGATTTATTATGTTTTTGTATAATTATTTTGATAGTTGTATCACTTCCTCGTATCTTTCCTTATACCATGCTCCCACCTACAGAAAGTTATTTCCATTTCTTTAACTACAATTTGACTCATTTTATTTTTAATTACTTTGTGGCTCAATATGAATTTCATCTTGGCCATTCTTCATACACAATAGTCTTGATATGTTACAATAGTTTGTCTATGGCTGTATTAAGATAGAGTTGTGCCCTGATGGTGAGTCTGACAATTGGGTTGGATTGTAGAAATTACAAGTTATTCGTAGTATGAGTATGAAAATTGCTTATACGGGTTGATATTTTTTGGAATCCTATTTTTAATGAAAAATTTATCAAATTTTTAAAATTATTGGGCCCAATTTTTTATATAGTACTTGGTACAGGTTATTTCTAGTCTACTTAATAAAATAGAGCAAAGTTTGAATTTAAAAATAAAAAATTGTTGAGATTGTTTCATAATAAAATAAGACCTCATCTGACGGACTATTACAATAATCTCAAATAATTAATGTTTCAGATTATTTTGTAATTTATAATTCAACGCACCAAATTAATCCCTAAAAAACTTATTCTGTCAAATATTTTGAATCCTCTCAATTAAAGATCTATACGACCATTCTAAATTGACATTCTGCCACCTCAATTCACGCCTCTCTCTCCCTGTAACGTCACTCTATCTCCTCTTCATCCTTCGTGCTGGTCATCAACTAACGGCATTCAGATCCCCCGCCACCAGCAACAACGCCAGCCCAAATCGCCCAGCTAGCCGGTATTTTTCTCGCTCTGACCCCCCTCGCTCTGTTTCCCTCTCTCTCTCTCTAACTGTCTCTCCCACTTTCACCTTGCTGTCTTCTTCTTTCTCCCACTCTACTCTTTGTGCACTCACACCACCGTCACACACCACCCTTTCCTCCTCTCCCCTCCCCCCCCCCCAAAAAAAAAAAAAAAAAAACAAAACTCAACCACCGGAACCTCCCCACGGTCACCACCGCCACTGCCCCTCTTTCTCTCCCTTTACTCTCTGCACATATACACGACACTCACTTACCCAGACGCACAACACACACATGAAACACGCACTGGGCGCACACACACTCTCACCACAGTCCACCAAGACTCAATTGTTTCACACACACGACAGATTCATTGTTCATATTTGTCGGCTCCTAAAATGAAAACTATTTTTTGGTATTATATTGTTTGTTGTTTTAATGTACATGCAGTGATGAGCATGTCAATGGACGCCGATTGTTCGAAGAAATGCCCCAAAGGAACGTAGTGTCCTCATACCCCAACGAGTTAACGAACCATAGCCACCAGGTATCTCTCTATATGTCTCTCTCCCTCTTTCAATTTCTCTGCTACGCCAATAGCCCACAGCACCACTACACCATCTTCAGTCCTTCATCCTCCACTTGAACCCCATCCCAACGAAAAATAATGCTTTCTGGTATTTTTTCCTTTACGTGCTACAAATTTTGGATATGTCTGGGAACTTATTCTCACTTTTTGGGATTCCTATTTGTTGTGGGTGAAATGAAGTTTTGGTACTTTTGCATTTAGTCTTTATTTTGAACTTAATTCAGAATTTCAAACCTTGGCATGTTGAAGATGAGGTGAAAAAATAACATAGTGTTACAAACCATACATGTTTCTTTGAACTTCGATGGTCATTTCTCTCATTTGTATAATGTAAAATTTCTAGTCGAAAAGGTGTCAAGGTAAATCAACCAGTTTTTTTTTTTTTCTCTTTTCTGTACTAACAGTCTAACTCCCTTTTGAAAGTTATTCCCATTTCAATGCTGCTGTGTTAGGAAAGTGCTTGATAATAGCACTTCTCCTAAAGGAGTATCTGTGTTTTCTTAACTACTTTTTAATCTAAACTTCAAAAACTTAAACGAGATCCACCTTTGTTCAACGACATTATACTATTAACAAGTAGCAGACCTCCAATCACCAGAACTGAACAAATGGTGCTTGATTGGTTGGGAGGTTATGGTAGCATGTTAGTTTATTCAACTGCATCCATTTATGCACCTATGTTAAATATTTACTTTTGCTAAACATAATTTGTATTTTACCCATTTAATTTAGGGGAGTGAAATAATTCTAGCTGGAGACAAACGAATAACATGGTTTATCATTTACAAATCTATACGAGAGATGGTGGTGAAAAATTAATTGGAAGTATTTGTATTTACAAATCTCTACAACAACCCAACCTCTCACTGTCCTTTCTCCTTTATCCTTTCTACCTCCAGTCTCTTCTCTCTCATCGTCTTGACAGCCGCTTGACAGCACATCCACTCCGCAATCAACAACCAGGGTGCCATTGACGCGCCACTGTCAATAGTGTCCAGGCCATATGTATTCCCTCCTCCCTCTTTCTCTCTACTCCTTTTATTCCCCCTCTCTTTCCATCCTCTCTTTCAAACCCCTGTACCCCGTAGCCGCAACCACAGCCACAGCTACCCCACCATCCACGAGCATGACCGTCACCAACCTAGCCCTTTTTTTCATTGTAATTGATTTTGTTTTATTGGACTTCAGTTTTTGTAATTTCAGTATTTGTTAATAAGCTCAAAAAAATATGGTGGGTATTGTTCAATTTGTGTTTTCTCTCTCTCTCCCATTGTAGGTCGGTGGAGTAGTTGTCGAGGTGTCACCGAAGAACCCAAATCCATTCCAAAGTTCCATGACTCATAACCCCTCCAAAAAGTGGCAAACTTTCTCCACTTTAATCTTAATTTTTTGATTACAAGATCTTTGTTTCATGACTTTCATTGAGATTAGGTCTCCGTTAATTTTGTAGTTTTCTTGAATCACATGAATCGTTGCAGCAAACCATCACATAGAATAAAATAGAGGAAAGGGCAACAGGCTTGAAGGAGGACGTATATGAGCATATATTTGTGTATATTTGTTTTCTTTTGATTTGAAATTTTGTGATATGAACTGGGTATTGATTATTGTAGTAATGGATAGGAAGACTAGTGGTAAGGTTAATACAATGTCGTTGCATGTTTGTGGTTGTGAATGGTGTTAATTTGAGTGTTTGTTTTGCAATTTGATTGCTTTGATTGTTAGTGTGTCTAAAAGAATATATTTTTTGTATTCATGGACTTGATTAGTGCGTCAGTCTCTTTTTCTCTCACATTCAAATTTAGCAAACATTCACCCCATCCCCAACCCGCAGCCCCACCATTTACATCCACCGCTCTTCCGTATTTGGCATGTTTGACAAAATTTCTCAAAGATTTACAATCATGTTACTCCGTCACCGTCACCGGTAACCCTCTCTCTTTTCCAATGTCTACCAAATTACGCCACCTATTGAATACCCCTAGGGCTGTCAATCTATTTAAGAAAAAAAATCCTACACTTACTGATCACTTAAAATATAAGAGTTATTATTTGCAAGAAAATATCTCATTTATATAATAGAGTATAAATGATCTCAAATCCCAAAAGATATAAAAAATAATTTTTACTTTTCGCGATTCAAATTGGTTTAAACTATTCTAAATTTGATTCAAGAGCTACTATTAATTTTCTAATTTTTATATTATATACCCTCTCAAACTCCCTCTCTCATACTCTCGAATACCACTATTTTTTTCTTGTTGTTTTCATTCTCGTTTCAATCTCTAAGTTTTTTCATCTCTCTCGGATGCAAGTTTTGGGCGTGAATATAAATTAATTAATGTATTTTGATTTTTGTAAAACTAATTTCTTTGATTAATTGTTATAATTTGTGCTTGTTTTTTAGTGTGAATATAGATATATTTATCGTTGACAATTTTTTTTGTTACGAGTCTTCATGTACGCGCAATTATTAGTAATTGTATAATTGAAAGTTTAATGTGGTGAGAAATGATATTTGTGGGATTGGAATAACCCCGCCCAAACTTTATACTGGACCCCAAAATTACTATTTTGGAGTCGGTACTCATCATCCCGTTATTCTTGACCAGCCGAGTAATCCATCAAACAATGGCCAGACAACCATCAACTGATCTCGAGGAGTACTCATCATCCTCAACCCTCATCCCTTTTGACCGCCCAATCCATCTTCTCCGTGGACCCATCCCCGCCGGCCAACCAGACGATCCATCTTCCGGCCGATTCATCCTCGCATTCAGAGACCCACGATCCTGGGCATCAGCTTACAGAGCATGCAAAGTTCAAATCACCCAACAGTGCGAAACCGGTGCCCGAATCGGCTGCTCCATCGCTGCTTCAAATAAATGTAAATCCCCATGGTGGAAAACCCTATTGGGTGTAGCGAAACAAGACTTGAAAGAAAGAGAAATATGCGAAGAGCGCGAAATGGCAGCTTGTGTTGAAAATTCGAAAGAGAAGTGTCAAGAATTTGCGAAGGAGAAGTGTTTGCCATCGTTTAAAGACGCGAGAATCGCTTGGGATAGTTCGAGGGTGAATTGGAAGGAAGTTTACCGGTTGATTAAATGGGTATCTTTGCCAGAAAAGAGTGCAGGTTTTGAGTTATTGGGAGTAGAGGGGAATTGGGTTGAGTTTAAACGCATGATTGATTCGACAAATTACAGAGGAAGTGAGCTTTTGGATTCTAATTACATGGGTAGTGAAGATTTTGCAGTTGGAAGTAATCAAAAAAATTGACAATGGGGTGTCCAGTTCATTATATTTCGGGTATTGTGAGCAAATTTTTTTGGAATTTTTAGTATGGCATCACTGTTTAGGACTAGAAAGCTCTTTAAACAGTAAATTTTTTACTAATCTCTGAAATTTTCTTTTGTTCTGTTGAATCTAGGATCTAAATTAATACCTATGCGGCTGTATGTGTAGGTGGGGAGAATCTTATAATGTACTATTACACAGTCGAATGCTGTGACACCATGATGGACGATGCCTTGATTGTATCTCTTATTCAAAAACAACATTCTACACCATGCGTCTTGAATTGTGTTCTAGTATACTAATGTCACATGATATGTGGTCGTATGTATGACCTTTTAACCCATTATGAAGATGATAAATTACCATATTATCCATGTTAGAATTAGAATTAAGGGCGTTTTTGTCTTTTTCAATTTAATATCAGACATTAATCTCTTATCCACATTTGAAATTTTAGTATTAGGACAAGAGATCCTCTACACATTATTCATATCATACCTTGATCCAAACACGATTTAAAAAAAAAAAACAAAGGGATAAAATAGTAGACACTTAGCCACTGTTGGAATGAAATGGATTAAAATCAATTGTCCAATTTCATCCCTTATTGTACTCAAATCAAACGCCCCTTAAAGAATAATTATATTTTCTTTTTTAAGATATGTTCTGCTAGACTTCATAATCAGAAGCGATGATAGTATCGATTTCAATAGGATATCCAGGGCAGAGTCAAAAATTTTGTTTATGGTGGGCACGGTAATTACATACTCTATTTTTTTCCCACCTAACTAATTACACTATGTAATATATTTATATTTATTGTATCATATTTGATACATGAAGTACATTTAACATAAAAAAAAAAGGGCAAAAAATAATGTATATTATATAGAAAAATTTGGGAGCCGGTCCCCTTTTGTGGACTTATTTGGATTTAAGTTCACTTAAAAAACTTGTTTAAGAATAAATCTATTTTGATCTCTATTGTCCAAGATACCCTCAATAATAATGTTTAATTAAAACAAATTTAAAAACTAACAACTTTTAAATTTTAGGAGTTTTACTAGCATTAAAATTATTTCTTTATCATATCTCTCTATATCTGTATATAAATTAGGATTATTTTATTTCTCTCTCTCACACACACACGTATATGTATGAGATAAAGCAGTAACATTCAAAATTTTAAAAAAAAAATAGTAACATTTAAACAAAAAATAGTAACATAGAATATTAACATTTGTAACATGCTCAATAAAAAAATAATAACATTAAACAATAACATGTTTAACAAAAAAAAGATTATATGAAAAAAATTGTACCATGAAAAAAGGTAGTAACATGCGCAAAAAAAAAATAATAACATGATATTGCAGGAATTAAAAAAGTAATAACATGTTTCGGGCCATTTTGTCGAACATCTTTGGGGCATTGCGGAGATGTCTAAATCTACATCCGCGGTGGAGGCTTTTGCTTGGAATCCGCATTCTTTTTATTCGACTATTGATGCATGAACCTAATTGCTTCTCAAGCCAAAACTCTTATAATGTCAGTCGAGTACAGGCTCACTCCGGAGTACCCTTTGCCTGCGACTTATGAAGATTGCTGGGATGCTATTTAGTGGGTAGCTTCACACACTATTGACAGATATGATGATGGTGATAATAAAGAGCTCTGGTTGATCAACCATGGCGATTTTGAGGGGGTTTTCATTTGTGGGGATAGTGCTGGAGGTACTGTCCGTCATTGAGAGAGAGCGAGAGAGTGGTTCTTGGAATTTGAATTTTAAATTTATGTAAAAAATAGTTATTGACATATCTCCATTGATAATGAATTAAGGGATAACAATTCCCTAGTTAGAACGTTGCTTTGAAAGAAAGATAGTTTGGAGTTTTAAAAAAAATTATAGACTTAACTACTTATTAGTAAGATTAAAGAGCAATGCTATGTAACTCAAATCTGCAACCCAAATTTGCATCCCAATTGAAGGAGAATCATTGGATTAGTGGGTCTCATCAACTTTTTTAAATGGTACCCACTGATCTAATGGTCTCCCTTCATTTTGGGTTATAAATTTGAATTACATAGTATTTTCCAAGATTAAAATATGACTTATTCTTAAATAAGTTTGAGTGATAAACTAAACTTATTAAAAGTCCTCTAAATGGAACTCAACCTCCAATTTTCACTATTATATATGTATAAAAAATGAATAATTATTATCAATGTAAAAAAGTGAGGCTATTTGTCATTTTTGTAATTAAAAATTAATTAGTTATTCATTAACAATCTATTAAATTATTTAATAAGTGATGTTCGAAACATATTAGCATTGAAATATTAGCATACTAAAACTACTAAACGAAATTTAAGAGCTAAACAAAAAAAAATTGAAAATCAATTAACACGTAATAATCACTATAATCAAATAGAAATCAATACAATATCTCATGATTTTGCGTAGAAAAAATAAAAGTTAAATGAAAGTTAATTGCAAGAATTTTCGCTTGTAAAAATTTACAAATAATAAAATTAAGATCACATGTAGCAAACTTTAATACAATAAAAAAGACTAAATAATTGAAATAAGAAAATTATGGGGTGGGCACAAATAAAAAATATATGTATAATTTTTAGAATATATAAATATAAGTATACATATAATATTTTAAAAAAAATAAGATTGATCCTAAATTATCTAGTATAATCTGAAATATAATTGTCTATCATAATATTTTATTATCGATTTCTAATTATCTCATTTAATCAAAATTTTACTAATTTGAGTCACGCCGAAATGTCTTGAACCAGGACTAATCAAACTTTTGATGTAAAAATAAATTTTGAAATACTCGGAAAATAAAGAGTTTTTGTGGCCAGACCCATTATTGAAATGTAAAGGATTTCACTTATCGTCATTTATTAATGGTGGATGATCTATTAAAAAAATAATATATATATATATATATATATGTTAGAAGTGATATAAGTCCGATATTTATTAGACCTAAGTTCAGTGACTTTGCAATATTTTTGTAAAACTTTAAGAATAGTTGGAATTGTAACATGGACAAGTTATAAGTTTAGATATCTTAAATTCGAATTTTGACAATTTTTTGAAATTAGATTATGAGAGATTTATAAACAAAATTAATTAAAATAAAAAAAATATAAATTGACTCAAACACCCTTACGATTGTTGAATAAAAAAATAAAATAAAATTTTGCAACAGATTTAATAACTTAACTACGTGGTGGGTTAGTTGGTTTTGGTTCCCACAACCTGACCTAGACTACACACGTCACCAGCTCTCCCGAGTCCCGACCAGTAATTCATAGGATTGGATCTTGGTTATTGGTCATTCTTAGTCTAAGGGATCCACATACATGTGGTCAATTTCCGTACACAATGACGCAATAGCCTCCCACTCGTAATGACGTCACTCTAAAGGTCTTACTCTTCGCCAGCTGTCGCAGAACTATTGGACAAGCATAATACTTTATGTAGTAATGTTATACTAACTAAATTTTGGGATCAAATTTAAAGTCCAAATTTTAGTGACAAGTTTGACAATTGAAGATTGAAAAAGCAAGCAAGAAGTTATTTTTCATAGCATGAATAAAATTTTTCTAAATTTTTATGATTTGACACCTCTTTAAATTAGAAATTTAAATTTCAATGATACAAATATTTTATTATTGGTGGAAACGGAGGGTTTTAAAAAATATTTAAAATATTTCTATTAATTTGATTAGTAAAAAATAAAAGCATAATTGGGATATTTGTTTTATTGTATTTGGTACATTTTTCACAATAAACTAACATTTTTTTCACATAAAAGTGCAAAATAATCATTTTTCTTTTCAACTGATGTTTGTAATTAAGCCTATGTATTTTTTATGCAAATTTTTGTCTAATCATGTGGAGGATTATACTTAATCCTCCACGCTCCTAACATTATTCGTGGCACGTGAGAACATTATACATAAATAGAACAGCTGTTTTCTCCAACGATATTAATATTACAATGTGGGGTTGGAGTGATTACAATTATAAATCCCACCTTCTCTCTGTCTCTCAATTTAATTTCAGTTAGAACTTAGCTATCACAACGAACGGACCATATCATTGCTACCATTTTTCTACTTAATTCACCTAATTTGCAATTATTATTGAAATTTGGTCTCTTTTATCTTTTCTCCTTGTCCATAATTGCATATGGTACCACACGTTTCTCGATTACATGTCTTATTGAATTAGTGAGTAGACAGCTTTGGCTGATTGGTCCACTTATAACGGTGCTTAACCACTGAAAAAGTAATAATTAGTTAATACAAGGGCTACGATTTGTTTAATTAGCTGGTCCCTACGTTGACAAATGAGGACATGCCTTTGCCTCCTTTTTTTTTTTTTTTTTTTGGTGGGGTAAATCTCCAATTAACATAATTTGGTGGGGCATGATTGTTTAACTTTTCTTTCCCACTTTTTCTCGGCTAATCATGCTTTGATTGTTATTATTTATTCCACCATAAACATATAAATAGGCGTATCATTCTGCAACATGCCAAAAATTATTTTGCTAATTAATGTGTCTAGCCTTTATTCTGTAGGTTGAGTGGACATCCTGAACCACCCTACCTACTATACCATAGTTCTTTTTATTTATTTATTTATTTATTATTTTACTTAAACGAAAATGGAAGACTTTTTTTTGGTTAAGTTGTAACTTTTTTTGTTCAAACTATTATCTAAATAGATGAAGGTTGGAAACAAAAATAGGTAAAAATTAAGATTTTTTGCTTCTTTATTAAGAGATATTTGACTTTCCCATGTAGTAATATTCTTCATTCAATGAATTTCGAGTGTCCGTTTTTGTAGATTTTTCTTTGTCCTACTTCTAAGGATAGATAGTTTAGATTGAATATAATCCTCACGCACATGCCATTTTAGGATTAAAAAAAAAGCTTGTAAACAGTAATGCATAATAATAGAATTGGTTTGCAGCTCTTGCCCTCTCTTTCACTCTTCGTCTGGAAGCACTAAAAGCAAATGACTATTCTTGTTGAGTTTTTAACAAGCTAGACTCTATTAAAATGGATTATATAGATCGGTTCTAAAATCAATCTCTTGCGAACTCATTTTATTGTAACTTTTCCGACAATTAATTGATCTGGCCCCAAAACTAAAATTTTCTGACATTTTTGTAAGCAAAAGTCGGACTGCAATGACAATAGGAACTATGTTCTTTTACTTTTGGAAATTTTGAATTCCGACCCAAAAAGAAAGTTCATGAGTTTACTAAGAAACATTTTAATCATTACCATAATGACTTACCAAAGATGATGGAAAGAAACAAAAACACACGCTTTATTTTTTACCAGCGGAAAAGTGAAGTAAAATTATAGTTTCTATGAGGAACTAAACAACACTGGTTAGACCTGTCACAAGTACCAGTGTATTTACTTTCTTCAGAGAATTGTACATCGCACTGGGTGCGACTCGGACCGAGCCACTTGTGTGGAGGTGGTAGAGTCTGTTCGAGGGATGGGTCACTCGAGCAAGTGGGCGAGGCTCTTCCGCAGGTGAGAAAGCTGTAACAGCTGTGAATGTTACAACTTGGTATAGATCAAAATGGCATTATACACACCTGTTTGATTGCCTCAACAGATGTATTATAATACATGACCAAAAGCCACAAGCATGGGCTTGGCTTTGAGGTTTTGGTGGTGGTGGTGGTGTGTGTGTGTGTGTGGGGGGGGGGGGGGGGGGTGTTGTTGCTCTTCCCGAATATGCCATATGGGCAACATAACTGAGGACCTAACACCACCTGCTAGCCAGATAGCTCTCGTAACCTTATATTCAGCTAACTATGTTCACTGTCCAAGGCAGACATTTTTACATCAAAGGCTAAAAGAAGAAACTCAAGAAGCCTACTATGGTACACCAATTAATCGAAATAGTGCACTAGGCCCGAGAAACTTTTTTGCTTCCAGATTCGGAAGCAGCTCGAATCTAATTCTGCAGATCGTCCTCCAATGAGAGTTCATGTGCAGTCAGCAGCTTCAATTTCTGCATCTCAATATCAATTAGACATCATTAGAAAGGGAAATCATCGTTCATTTCTAATGGCCTAAAACAAGAAAGACATTATATGTAAGTTTGTAGAACATCACATATTCACCAATAATATCATATACTACAATAAATCATCATGCCTCGCTTCTGGGTAAGCTTTCAAGTCTCATCATAGCCAGTGCTGAGCCTATATAAAACATTAGGAACTATTATCCGTTGCTACTATAACAAGTTTTTTTTTGGCTCAAACTAGCACAACAAAAGTTAGTCCTATAATTTTTATCAACCTCAGGAACTTGAGCTATTACGGACAAAAAATTCCCCCCTAAAAATACAGTAAAATGGGGGAAAACAATACAGGAGAAGAAAAATAAATATTACAAAAGCAAAAATCTCTTACATCATTTATCTATTGAGGAAATGCATGCAGCATTAGTCACCTGGTTTTTCTCCAATAGCTTGAGTTCCATTCAAAGCCATCCACACAATGAGGGGAGAGAGAGAGAGAGAGAGGTCACATGCAGTTATGAATTGCGGAGGATCATCAAGACTAAATGAGGCTAGGATAATTTCTCTCTTCAGCTTCGTTGTTAACTTGTGACAAATCTGCAGCTAAAAAGTAATAGCCATTTCATTACAAACCACTATTTGCCCAGAAATCAAATGCTACACCTTTCTCTTCAAAAAGAATTAAATAAACAAACAGTTTATACCTCAGATCTAGTTGCCCCACCAAACGATAAACACAAAAATTCGTTGACATTTTTTTGAAATCATTCAATGCGTGACTCAGAATGGAATCACTGAAAAAGGGATTAATAAAGGGTAAGATCTACATGTAAACTGTAACTAATGGTTGTATGAGAAAGGTTTAGCAATAGCTGAAGGGATGCAAAGAAAAGACGACTCTCAGTGGTTTCATTTGGAACTTCCTATGTGTGTGTATTGTTCCACTCAGAAAACAGAAACGAGGCCTCACAAAAAATACAAAGAAGGATAGAAACAAACATATTAAGAGAACATATGAGAGGTTAGACTTGATGAGACATTACAAAGAAGTTGAAATTTATGGCTGATCTTCCTAAAGCATGAAAATACCCACTTAAAAAACCACTCGAATCAACAATCAAAAAAAAGCCACGAGAATACCTGGAATACCCATCATCCGAGTTCTGAGGGCGAGCCCATGTTGAAGTCCATCTTGATCTCATCAAGTAAGCAGCTGGAGCTTGACTTGTTTGCACTGACCCACTCAGGGAGGTCCCATGGAAAGTTGGACTTGGATTATGCATGTATGGGTATTCGTTCTTGGGTAGTTCACCTTTGTTAAGTTTTTCAATAAGCTCCTCAAAGATGAGACAAGCTTTGGTCAAGCATTCTCACTCCTCCAGTAGGGCAGTAAGTGAAAGGCCAAAAGATCAGATGATTACAATTTTAGGTATCAGGATTGTTAGGAAATTGATTGTAATTAACAAATTCCATAAGGTCACTTGTACCTATATCTCAACTAAATCCATGGTCAAGACAATTATGAAAATTGGAGACCAAAACAAAATGTGATGAAGAAACTCGAGCAATATTGCCATATGTGAAAACTTCTTGGTATCTATCAAGCTTAGGCAAGGTAACAGAACTAAATACTTAGTTGTCTTAGATTGGTTTAACTTAGGTGGTTAAAATAAACTTAGATGTTTAGATTGAAAATTCGTGGCATGACTCTCATATTAATATGGAAAACGTTCTTACAACTTTGAAGGTTGGTTTTGAAACAATATAAAAGTCAGGCATGTTGAGTATTGCCCCTGGGTCAACAAACCAGTGAACATTGACGCTCTAGTGGTTGAGGAAAATAAAATAGACTTAAAATTTCAAAACAATGGTCAGCACTTGATGACCACTCGAGTGATCCACTGTTCATGCTGAGAGCAGTTCTTTTCCAGTAACGCTGTTTTCTGAGAGCCCGAACAGGCAATCGGAAAACTGTATTAATTGCTCCCCTGCCTCCCCAATTAACCTCATTTTCCTTACCCATAAATATGCGACGCTATTATTCGACCAAATAGAATCTCTAGGCTATCAAAGAAACTAGAAAAAGAGAAAAAATACCTGCACAAAAACCCTAGCCTCCCATAACAAAACCACAATCTCTATTCGATCAATCTAGACCTTTTCAATGAAACCATTTTAGACCTTGAGAGATCTCTTGTAGAACACCCAAAACCTATAGAGCTAATGATCTAAGCATGATTTCAAGGATCAACGGAAGATTCCAAAAGAAGAAGATTAGAATTCCAAGGATGATCATGGAACTTGAATCGTTGCCTATTGAAGTTACTTGTTTAGAGTTTGCAGTTGATTCAGAAGTGAAGATGTCTAACCATGGTATTGATTGAAGTATAAAACATTAATCCATGTAATCTAACTTTGAGGTTAGTGGTTTAGGTTAGGTGGATTACGATCCCATGGTTTTTCCCGTTAGAGCTTCCACGTAAAATTGATAGTGTTGTGATTGTGATTGTCTCTTGCAAGTCTTTTACATACTTGCAATTTTACATTCTTCATATGCTTAACTGTTTAATTTCTGGTGAATCATATTGTGGGTGTTGGCCGATAAAATTAGACTTTCAATTGGATTGAAGGGTATTTGGAATTTGGGGATTTTTTGTGAATTTCAAAATTGGTGGATTGGGTTAATTGAAGGGGGTTTTCACAACAGTGGCTCTTGTTTTGCACGCCTACAGAGAGACTAAAAGTACCAACGCTCAATCAAAAGAAAGAGCATTCAACTATATGCTTGTGTCACTTATAGTCATCTCTCCCTCGCCGCAGGTCAGCACCTCCAAAAGAAACAGAGGACTTAATTGTCAAATCAATTGGTAATTAGTTGAATTAGGTTTTAACTGAGTATTGAATTCCGTCTTTGAGTGGTAAGACCTAGTCACCCCTCTCTAAGTTAAATAAATCTTAGCTCAGCATTTCGGGGTCGATCACGTTCGCACTCTGCAGGATTCTAAATATATCTAGTCCTACTGCATGAAGCATTATTATAACTACAGGGGTCATTGTTTTTTTGTTCAGTAACTAAAGGGGTCATTGACTAGATAATCTAAGTGATGAACAAGATAATTTTAGACCTCTACTCTGAGATAATATTGCATTTTCATCTCATTGACATCATACATATGTATAAAATTATGTTATGATAAATAAGTGGCACCAAGAATGGATTTCACATTCTGTATAAATAGACTCTAGACTCTAGACGTCACTTGGTGGGTGAAAAAATAAACACACTTTTCCTTGAATGGGTGTCATATTTGAACAGTAATAATAATAATTTGTAAACCTCAAAAGAAGGGCTGAAGTTCAATGTAAAAGTGACAAAAGTACCTACCTCCATCAACTTTGCAACTTTGTCATCCTTAAACTTCTTGGGGTGAACTGCAGAATAAATCATCAACAAGCGCAATTTATTTTCACGTGTTACATCCTGCATACCAGAGATTATTCTATTCACAGAATAAATGTTGACAAGATTTATTGACATCCATTTTCAGTAACTTGTATTTCCCACCTGTTTTATTCTCAAAAAAATGATTACTTCCTTAGCTCCTGCATCCCCATAGACAAGGTCCTGCTCTAGTTTCCCAAGTTCATTCAGCTCCAACTCCCTAACAATTTTGTTAATTTTTGCAGCAACCAGCGCAAATAAATCATGATTAGCTAGAGTATGCATTTCCTGGGAAAATCTTCCAGTTAATGCATATGTTTTTCCAAATATTACATAATACATACTGACAGTCCATCAATGGTGTACTGAATCAAACAAATGATAAAAGAGAAGCCACCCAACATTGAGCCTCATGATCATGAAGAGTGAAGACAAAAGAAGTAGAGTCTATACTTGTATGAACTTGTTGCCACCTTGTACAGATTTTAAGGTGGTTGTTTGTGACAAAAAAAAACCACAACAACAGGAAGACACATCGATTGCGACAAAGTATCTGGGGATACAACCTAAAATAAAATGTTGAATATGACAAGAGATATAGGTCATATCGCAGCGTGGTGGAACTGTATCGGACGATTCAGTGACAATAACTCCACGACTCGAGATTAACTCGGATGACTCGGCCGAGTCGTCCGAATCTGGAAGTTTATATATATCATGTATCGATATCGTCTCGGAAGGTCCAACTCGGCTAACTCATATTAGTATTGGTCGATACTTTGAACCATAGTAACAACAAAAAAAAAAACACAATAACAGAAATAGATGAATTTGCAAGATACTTATAGGGTTAACACCCATCAAATATTCAAATCTAAGGAAAAATTTCAACTCGAACAGTAAAAATAGTCTTTGTTTACTGTATAGAAGGCTTGGAATACAAGAATCAAAAAGCTTTTAAATAGAGCAATACTATTAAAACCTAATTTATTGACCTAATTCACTAATGTCATTGGATTGATCGTAGGCCCTATCAAATATTGAAACTTGGTGTTAATCCAGCACTTACAATAAATCCACATCATTAGGTCAGCAGAATAAGGGTCCAGAAACAAATAGGAGCTTATGCACGAGAAAAGATATAAGAAACTAATGCATCAGTAAATCAAGATGTAACAAACTTTGAGAACAGAATGACAGAAAGATGTCTCAGGACTTAATTATTTATGTATATGTCTGTATAATTTCTTAATTTGTTGTACTACGTACATTGAATGCTTGAGATTCTCTGCGAGTCAAATAACTGGTTATATCATGCTTGACTTAATTAATTAGAATTTTTAATAAAATAGTTGATTTATTATTTGTAATAAAACATGGTTTACCTGTTCAAAAATTTGATTTATCGTAGAGTCCAGACACAGTGAATTGTGATCTACAAGTAAATTCTCATATTTATTAAGAAAATTTTATTAACTATACCTTTGATGTTTTCCATATTATCACCGTTAAATATTTCGATTAGGATCACTCGTCCGCTGATTCTCAATTGAGTTAAAAAATTAGATCTTTAATAATTACTGTGTGCAATTAAAAGGGTATCCCCAATACTTTAGTATTTCAAATTATTATTTTACTCAATCAATTTCCGTTCTTTTGAACAAACAAATATCTACAACAATTTTTCAAAGCAATTTTCTTTTATTTTTCTTTGCGTTCGAAGTTTTCCCAATTACATGTAGTTCAATCTCGGACTTTCAAGTATTATTTTAATTTGCGACAAGCTGCACTTGAGTGATCAATTCAATTTTAAAGTTTTAGCAACCTACACAACAGAGTCTGACAAGTCTAAAGGGTAAAAATTTCAAGTCAATCAAGAATAACGTTTCAACAAGATAAAGAATGATCACAAGCAAATAATAATAGGTCGCCTAAAATATAAGCAACTTTCCATTCTATATGCATATGTTTAGAAAATTTGATAAAAAAAAAAATGTAACCAACTATTGATAAGCAAAATAGTAATCAATACCCAATCATGGCCAACAAAAAATTTTCAGCATCACGTTTGGAATTTTGTCGACAGTACCAACTCTACTTCAGACTCTTTTGGTGACTGTACATCCAATTTAGTTAGCCTAACAACACATTACGAAGATTTTTCCTTATTAACTCCGAACAGTCAAGCAATTCCTTCTTTTTTGTGATACATGAAAAATGATAGGGACAACAGGTATGGCTCGGTTTGGTAAACGACAATAATCATCCCATATAATATGATGCTTTGGATGGCAACTCTCATCAGTCAACAGCAACAAGGCAACTTGAAATGTATTTTCTCAATGTGAGTACTAGCAATACTAGTGATAACCCAACAAGAAGAGATCGACATATTTGAGAATCCATTCAGTTTTCTCTCGAGAGTAAGTTGACAAAGATGTAAATCATCAAGGATTGGCTAGTTTCCTAGGTAAACGGACGCATGATCTGCAACAGCAAAGGAATTGAGTGAAAAGCCCCAGACTCCACTACATGGGAATCAACAGAGAGAGAAATTAGAATAAAAGCCACAAGGATATGGAAAAATCACAACACAATTTTATAGGAACAATTTCCAAATTACAGGTCCAAGATCACCAGGATAGTATGTGTTGCCAAATTAAATTTCTTGCATTGAAATGGACATTAGGGATGAGAATGACGTTGAGAGAGGGGCATAAATGCAAAAGAACACAAAGGTAAAGACACACGCTTCTGACCATCTTGGCTGGGTGACCAAAACTACTTGATGCTTATATATTTATAAGCACACGAAAAAAGCTGATAATCTCATTTACCGGTGAATAACGCACAAACTTAAACATATAAACATCAGTCCTCACTAGTCCATTTTGGTCAGCAAATCTGAACATGACACAGTAGTTGAAGCCTGAAATTGCTTATGCCTGACAGCTTATATTTGCAATGATTTGTTCCCAAAGGTGCTTAACAAAGAGTTCAATTAGCAAACCCCCTAGTTAGTGTTGATATTGGCTCTGAATTAACACCAACCCCATTGACAACTTGGTTGACAGCACGGAGACCAGAGTCATAGGTCATTTACAGATATTATGAGAAACACCTTTTTCATTGGAAAAAGAGGGAACATGCCAGGTAAGATATTCAAACTGATAAGTGAAGGAAAGGTAGTAAGACTTCATAATACAAATCACAGTGTTAGTACTAATGTCAGATACCTTCCAAGATGATTTTATGTCCCCTGTTTTGGCTGCGCAAAGCATCTCATATAATAATCCTGAAAATTTTAAAAGAAAATATGCAACGATATCCAATTAGCGAATCACCCAAATGAAAGATTAATAAAAAATTTTGATGGTGTGAAATATTTAAAGACATAAGTGGGAGATCAGCTTTCTAAGGAGGCTATGTCCCATCCTGTACTCTAACTAATAAATCAATTTTTTTCTCACTGCAGATTTTGAGAATTCCGGCCATAAAGTTAAGTCGCTCCAATTATTAGTATTCCCACACAGCAGGGACAGAGCTACCTTATGAGGTTGGGGGGAACTTGCCCCCCTAATGTGTTATTGCGGCTACTGAACATTCCAACTTAGAACTTAAAAGATATGGACAAAAATGTCATAGTAACGGGAGAACGTGATCTAGTTTAACAATATATACAAAAACATACAAGAACATTCGAGATTATCTCCAATTCCTCTATATTTCACTATGTGCCACTTAGAGCCAATGACAACAAACGATCAAGGTTCGTCTACGGTCCACTACAGGTGAATTAAGAAAACCTCGACAAATATGACTGTAACAGCAGTTCAAAGATAGTTAATAAACAAAAGAAATACACATCCGAAGTAGAGAGAGAGAGGTAGAAAGCGAGTTTTGGACCTTTCGAGAAAATACAGAGAGAGAGAGAGAGAGTTTTGGACTCACTTTCACGGCTAATTTGTCTGAAGTTCTTGAACTCGATATCCTGCGACGACGTATCAGAATCGGACATCGACATGGTGAATTCAAACCTCCGACCACTCTCTATATCCTACTTTACCGAATTGATCGATCACAGAACTTACCGATCAACGTCCTCCAGACTCTACACAGAGAGAGAGAGAGAGAGAGAGAGTGGGGTGTGGTAATTATTTTGGGATGTCGTGCTGACTGTTAAAGCCCAATGGTTAGACCGGTTGAGCGGGCCTGAAGCCTCACAGAAAGTTATTGAACGATTGTATCCGACGTTTTTATTTTTTTTGAGAAAAAATATAAAAAAATTAATTATTTAGAGGATTTTCTCCACAAATATATAGTGCAAAAGTCTACACGCGTATAAGGTGGTGTGTCACTTGATCGGGCCTTGTGTTGACTTCAGAAGCCCAAAATCCACGATAGGTCTGGTTCGTCATTGCCTTTGATAAACTACTGGGTAGGTTTAAGCACTACTTGCCGAATTAATGGGCTATCTGAGGTCCTACCATGTTGTGGACCGAGGAAACCATTTGGCTACAAGCAGCCCATCGAGCCACAGGCTTGATGCTAACCCATAGGCCCTAGGCTTACCATTGGCAGAGACCTTCAGACGATGCTCCAAAGTCCAAAACCATGAACAATATGTAAATCCGTGTGGTAACCAATACGTCTGGGAAAAATTACACGGTGGTGATAGAATTAGAAAGAATTGATATCACAAAGGATGCTTATTACTATGAGTGCTACCTAGTCCTAGACAAATCTGCTGGAACCTAAGTGTTTTTGGTTTAGGCATTAAGAGGAAATTTTGTACAAAATAATCTCTAGGCCCACCTTATCTCATTTCCTCTCTTTTTTTTGTACACAATTTAGGCCCAATATTATTAACTAAAAATAACCCGAGGATGAATAATATTTTTAAACCCACATATAGCATCTTAAATAAACTCACCTATTTGGTGAATTTAAATAGTTTGATTGGGGATATATTTTGACAAAAAATATTTCTATTCACAAGAATCTCTAAGATATAATTATCTCGAATGTTTTTTAATAATTTAATGTTTTTACCATCATTCAATACTATATCTAAACAAAGTATTGAATGGGATAAATATGAGAAATATTACTTCTTAATTCTTGAACCAAGCGTGGGATGAAAATGTATTATCAATATAATTAGTCCGAAGCTCAGACGGATGAATATAAAATGGATGAGTTTGTCTAATCCGATGCTATCTAATGACTAAACCAAACACATCCTAAAGGGTTGTATGGTATCATCCAAGTGAAGACCCTCAGCC